ACGGATCCACAGAAATATTTGCTTATCGCATTCCCTCACATTCTGTTTCCTACCGGGTTGTTTCATCGTCTGATCATCCGTCTTCTTAGGAAGTATAGAGCTCAGGAATATAAACATAACATTCCAGTTGTTGGGTTTGACCATGCCTCCTTCCGTTTGGGAGACGAACAATCGGTGCTCCATCTCGCCATTGAAGAAAGGGCCATGAGAATGATGATAACAAATGCTACTGGAAACAAACCAAAACCTGACATATACTCCAACGCACGGGAAACCGTTGAAAAAGAACTGTCAACTCTTAAGGACACGTACTGTCCCAGGATGCAGTTAGGCTTTCGCATTCGGTTAAATGACAAAGGAAAAGATATTCCAATAAAAGCAGAAGACGTCCAAGAAAACGATGAGATATGTAGATCTGTAGAGGGCACTGAAATGCCAATCGATGTGACACCGTATCGTGTTTGGTTTTCAGGTAAGCATTAAAATTTTAGGTAGTTTTACTGTGAACAGACATTATGTTCCTGAATATAATTAGGGGTAATGTAGTCATTGAAATCGGTGATACTTAAACTGATGTAAATGCAACTAATCATATTGGGTGATGTACTATGATGTACATGAAGAGAATTAATATTTCAAATTGTTGCCAATAAACCAAACTTTATATATTTTAAAATAATGTAACTTGATAAATACCCAAAGGTATTTTTTATAATCCCCGAAAATGATATCTTTACAGATCTTATCAGCATTTTTCCCCTTGGCAAATTTTTGCCCATCGCCTTTGTTAGAACAGTATAAATATCGCCCATAAAGTCATGCAATTTATATTTTAATCATTCCAACAAAACGAGTTTTACATGGGCATCAACGTCTGTGTGAGGGTAAGACTGTTGCAGTTCTATGTGCCGAACTTTTTTATGTACAGAAACAGATGTGTCTGTACACATAGCCGTCACCTGCGTCTGTCGTCGCAGTTGCCGTAGGCCGTCACCATTGTCGCCGTTGCCGTGCACTCAGCAATAACACGATAAGTGGAATACCATTTTACATTTTGTATTCAAATTTGCATATATGTAGCACTGATAACACAATATAAGAAAAAACAGATGGGCAAATTGCCATTATACTCACAGGACTGGTCAACCTTTCTAAAACGTAGGACGAGTTCGAAAATCAGCATAATCGGGCCATTATTTTATAAGTTATGCTGTTTTTTCACATTTCTTCAGATTCAATTCTTAGGCATGTTAACAGTCTCATTATTTAACTAATAAGATACCTAAAAGTGTTTGTTTGACATTTCCTGCATCTTTACAACATTGTTAGTTGATTATGTAAAAATGATGGTAAACTTGTTATCATGTATTGTATAATAAAGTGTCAAAAATGGAAATAAACTCATATAATTGCAGTTTGTAAGATTCAATCATTCACTATGTTCAGAAACTCAGAATGGAGGAAATTGGACATAAAACACTGTTCTATTGATATTTTTCACATCTCATCAATTTTCTAAGTTGATCATATGAAAATGGCAGTAAACTGTTAATTTTGTTATATGTTAAAAAATTGTCTACATTTTGGCATTTTCAAGGTGTGACTTTGAAGTTCCATGGGCCTGAAGACCTTTGCTAGTCACATTTTCTGAATATCCGTGATACTAATATTTTATTATTAAAGATTGATGGTTATTATCCTGTTAAACATGTCAGTGAGAGATAAAACCAAAATTAACAATCATTTCGGAACGACACTTGGATTTTGCAAGGAAAAGTACGGCGTATGATAGGACATAAAGTATTTTGATGGGGCCCTAGAGGCCAAGTGCCAATATATAATATATATTAGGCCAATCTTACCATTTTAGCAGCCCCAGAGAATCAAGACCGTCGTGCAGCCAAGTGTCCTGAAAACGAGGCAAGTTATGAGCTTTTAAATACGTTTGTGTCTAAGTACTGCGCAGCAAACACATAACGTTATTATAACGTTACCATATCATATGTCCAAAAATATTTTGGTAACATTATAGTAATGTTCTGTGTTTGCTGACCATTATCCTCACTTGCACAAGTTTTAGTAAGACCATGAAATTAAATGTACTCGTATATACACAATCGTAAGAAAAATTGGATACACTTAGGCATAAATGCGCACTTTTCACTCTGTTACACTTGCTATACGACCCCCGATATTTCTAATGATAAATTTCACATAAAGACAGTGTATGTGTGCGTTTCAGTACAAGAACGATTCCGAACCGAGAGGTCGTGCACTCATTATCAACAACAAGACATTTTCCGTGGACTGGCTTCGAGAACGTGATGGTACCGAGGTAGATGTTGTTGCCTTGAGGAAACTATTCCGTTACCTCCATTATGAGACAGACGTTATCAGTAACCTGACTGCAAATGTGAGTTCATTAATAAGATCATGGTGTGTTTGTAAAAAAACGAACATCGTAAAAGCCAAATGGCTTTTAGGTTTCAAAGACTAACATACTTTTTGGTGATATCTAAATATATTTATCAGTGACACAAAGATGATACAATTGATACTTGAACCTTTTGGTTCAAAACAGGTGTTGTCAAACAAACTTTTCGGTCACATTTTATTATGTTTATCTATTTCACTGCAGTATATTTTTCTACTAAAATGAAGCTTTTCACTCGTTTCTGTTCATTGCATGTATTTGTATTTATATGAGAGACGTATGGTACACTGTATAGGTATACAACATTGGTCAAAAAGGTTGTCCCACCCCTATTTCCATGTACTAATATTTACAAATGATCACCTTACAGCTGTAAATTGTTAGAAATAGTGCTTTTTATTATGTACAGACACAGATGTGTCTGTACATATAGCCATCATCTGCGTCTGTCGTCGCCGTCGCCGTCGTCGCAGTCGCCGTGCACTTTTACCGATAACACGATAAGTGGAAAACTGTTTTTTCTTTTGGCTTGAAACTTACAGAACTGATGAATATTTGTAATACGCAGGTCAAGTTTGAAAATCGGCATGATTGGGTCATTTTTAGTGAATTTAGTGAATTCGCAGTCGCCGTGCACTTGTACAAATGGTAGAAAACTGTTTATTTTGTTTTATGTTAAAAAAGTGTTTTAAAAATGGAAGTAAACCCATTGCAGAACAGTGCTGTCTTGTTTCAGCATATATGCAGCACCGATAACACGATAAGTGGAAAACCATTTTACCTTTTCCCTTGAAACTTACAAAACTGATGAATATTCATAATACGCAGGTCAAGTTCGAAAATCAGCATGATCGGGTCATTTTTAGGAGAGTTATGCTGTTTTTCACTTTTTTCACCATATATGCAACACTGATAACATGATAAGTGAAAAATCATTTTACCTTTTGGTTTGAAACTTGCAGAACTTATGAATATTCATATTACGCAGGTCAAGTTCGAAAATCAGCATGATCGGGTCATTTTTAGGGTAGTTATGCTGTTTTTTCACTTTTTTCAGCATATATGCAGCACCGATAACACGATAAGTGGAAAACCATTTTACCTTTTGGTTTCAAACTTAACGAACTGATGAATATTCATAATACGCAGGTCAAGTTTGAAAATCANGATCATTTCATCGTTGTTCATACCTTGTTTATACTAAAGAGAGGCACACGTGCTTTGACCTAAAACTTGCATATTATGACCAATCAGAGAAGATTACGTCATCCTCTGCGGGTCAGTGAAAGAAGAAGCATGTTTTAGTCAGGTAATTCAAATATCTGAAGAAAAAAATGAGACACTTGGGAATCAATTATGACATTTGCAACATGAGTCTGACCGTCAACAGTCAACGGACTGGTCAACTTCGCCGATCTTCAAAGCCAAAGGTGTGCGTCTTCGTACGCGCTGGGGCTCCAGCTAATGCGTAAAAACAGCAAAACAACGCGTAATTACGCACTCTCATACGCTAACAAGTTTACTGTTATTACATGTAAAAAAATTTGAAAGTTAATTAGTCTTACAATGTTTTTATACATGAATATGCTTGCCTTTATTTCATTAAAAAACTTTTTAAGCAATATTTAAATTTAGTGAGCACACAGCTGATGTTTAGTAAAAATGTAAGAAGTTTTCTATAGTGCTTTACTGTTTCTGACCAATTTCAATGAACCCATTAGTGATTAGGATTTTGAATATGGATGAAGGACTCTTTTCAATGGAATTTATAATATGCTTCATTTAAATTAACAAGTCACAAGAAAAACATTTTATATTGTTTATAATGCCTGAACATGAATTTCTTAGTTTTATGGTAAGCACACAGCTAGTCATATAAAAATGTACGTAGAGTGTAGAAACTTTTTACTGTTATTGACCAATTTCCATTAACCCATTAGAATTATGTAAAAATGTTCTTGGTCTGCTCTAAATTAAAAAAAAAAAATGAAAGTTGATAAGATTCATTCTGAACAGTCTATAAGCCAGGCATATTTCAATATAATAATATGTGTATTTGTAGGTTAACAAGTTATTAACTAAAGAAAAACCTTCATGTTATAATCATAATATTTAGTGATCTGCGCTCTGTGAGTGATTTTCTAGTTTTTATCTAGAAAAACTCTAAAAATTTTATCCCATGTCTTAGTTTTATATAATTATGTTTCACATATACAAAATATATAACAACGTTTTTGTAATGGTGAAATTTCTTACACTGCTGCAGCACATCATCTACTAGTTGCAACTTTTATATCTTTTTTTTATTTATTTTTTATCGTCCCTGTGATTTATCAGCCGAAATTCTGCTTTTTTTTCGATTAAGTCTTATCATTAGAATTATTATTCTGTGTTGTTAATTTGAGGATGGTATTGTGCAATAACAGTACAATTTACAACATCTGCACAGTGCATGTGTCCTGCCAGATACCAGTAATGGTACATTACAGATGTGTATGCCACTGATAACTACCATGTAAAACTATAAAGATTATTTGTGACTGTCTTTTAATGTGGAACTGGCTATCAGTATCGGTGAACATAACATTTTAATTGTTAACATACCATCTCTAGTTTTTTTACTTTCTCCTTGTGTTTTTTATGGGCATTCCTTTGGATCTGAAATATTTCATTTTAAATGATATATTATCCACTTTGTATTTGGAACAATATGGTGATGTTTGGTTGATTTTTGTAGCAGCAAAAGCAATGAAGATGGTTGAGCAGGGACAAAACCAACAGAATGAGCCAACTCCACAACCCAAGTTTAGCAACCAATGCTGTGTCAATGACACCTCAGATGAAGTTGAGGTGAGGCTTTAATTATTCTTCAAGTATTATGTGTGTGTGTGTGTGTTATTGATAAATTTTAGACATAGTTTCAATGTCGTAGATGATTGCTGACAACTGTGTAAAGTTGTAATTGGTCACTGCCTTTATTGTGCCACAAGCGTAGGCGCTGGCGGTACACAAGGTGTTAGTCCCGACCCGCCTGTTCCGCCGGCTCCGCTGCCATGTCATCATTACCGCTTCTCCTCCTGGACTACAAGGGCCTGCGTACCTATCTTTTGGATTAGGTCACCTATAATCTCAACTCGTTCCACGTAAAATTTGGGCTTCGTCGGTGCTGGGGTCTAGGTGTGGCACTCATTGCAATGCACCCTTGTCCAAAATTGGCAAAATTAAATGCCAATTATCTACCATATGGAAGGAATTATGGTAAAAATTTCTACAGATGGCTGACCAAAAGTCATATGTGGAGATTTCAAATATGCCCTTGTATTTGACCTTTGACCTTTGTTTCAAGGTCAAACGGGCCAAAATTTTCAAAAAAACAAATTTTTTTACGAAAAAAGATTATTTGTGCTGATATTCAGCAACTTCACAGACTTAACCTATAATATTATTGGCAGGTGTTACCCTTAAGGTCATCTTTCACCTCTGTGAGTTTGGGGTCATCTAAGATGTAGCGGCCATTAGATACCAAAACTGAAAACTGCCTCTAATTCAGGAACCGTTAATGCTAGAGGCCTGTTCTTTTTTGCATTTTGTAGAGCATGTAAAGCCCAACACTGCAAGTGGTCTCCCTTTTTTTTTCTTTTTTTTCTTTTTTTTTTAAATTTCCATACGGTTTACGAGTTATGTTGTATCAAAAAGTACATTGTGGTGGCGGAAGCAAAATATGCAATACGGTAATGTGTAATAAATTTTGAACCTCTCGAAAATAAAATATAAGGCTTGGCGAGGCAGACAACTTCTGTTCAAAAATGACATTATTTCATGAAATTTGAACATCTGGAACTTCTAAGCACCTCCCATTTCATGAATTTCAACCAAAATGACCTTTTCTTTATTTCAATTAATTTCTTTTGTAGGAAATGTATGGCACATTATTGTACCACCAGCGTTAGCGCTGGCAGTACACATGGTTTCGGTCCCGTCCAGATCGTTCCGCCGGCTCCGCCGGATGGCTACCGTTACCGCTTCTCCTCCTAGACGGTAAGGGCCCCCGTACCCATCTCTTGGATTTAGGTCACTTATAATCTCAACTCGTTCCACGTAAAATTTGGGCTTTGTCCGTATTGGGGTCTGGGTGTGGCACTCATTGCAATGCACCCTTGTCCAAAAATGGCAAAATTAAATGCTAATTATCTACCCTACGGAAGG